AATTGTCTGAACACGGAGAGAAATATCCAGTAAAAATTACGGAACTCACAGTTCGCTCACCGATTACGGAATCGACTCAGAAAATGTAAGTGACGGTATCGTAATTTTTCACAGGAGGTTCAGGTAAAAATTACGGAACTCACAGTTCGCTCACCGATTACGGAATCGACTCAGAAAATGTAAGTGACGGTATCGTAATTTTTCACAGGAGGTTCAGGTAAAAATTACGGAACTCACAGTTCGCTCACCGATTACGGAATCGACTCAGAAAATGTAAGTGACGGTATCGTAATTTTTCACAGGAGGTTCAGGTAAAAATTACGAAACGCTCTGGAAAAATTCCGTGATTTTAGGTAAAAAGCACGTGACAGTTCCGTACAATTTCCTACAACCACATTTCGCTCTGGAATTACGAAAAAGATACGTAATTTTTATTAAATATTTCTCTCCGTGAACTCATTGCGTTTCCCACCATAATTTCAACAAAAATATCACAAAGACATCATCACACGATTACTAAAATTTCAGGATAACTTTTATTAATTTTTCTCTTCGTGTCCCAATGTTCCATCAACATAAGTAAATTCGCAATTTTATAATGCAAAAAAACCCCAGATTGAAACATAACAGAAACAAATGTTTGTCTCACGTAATTTAAATTTCCTCGCATTGTCACAGCGACAAGTAAAGAGAAAAGGGTTGATGTATAAGTGAAAGAGGAGCGAGAGGAGCGGGGGCCCGAGGGTACCCTCTGCCGGGACGCATCGGTGGTGCTGGCGGTCGGGGATGAGAAAACATTAATCTAGGCATGTTTTGCAATCTCCGGCGCCGCGAATGTTCTCCGGGATGTGTATTTTCGTACATAAATTCATGTGGAATTCAATGTATGTGTCACTGTACCCATTCCGCCCCCCTCCCAGTGTATTATGAATGCGATGTTCGTTTACAATGTGACGGTAAACCCATTCCTAACTCACCCATTGTATTCATCATGTTGATAAGAATTTATTGATTTTTAAAACAGGAAAGAGGATTCTGTTGCGAAATATTCATTTGTGTTGCATGAAAAAAAAGTACAAATGAATGGTCAATTTCACGTTGTGGATCCAAAAATTATTTTCAACTACAGAATTAATTGAATAGACTAATTATTTTTTAACAGAACCTCAGTCATTAATTGATTAATAATCATTAATGGGCCAATTGAATAATTGAATAATCTTTTCGAAATGTCAAAGGAAAACTAGAAGATCCTCATTACCCTTTAATTTCCTGATGTCATTCTTGCAGTTAACCACTGCATATTCGTCACAAAAATACATTTCCTCGCCCGAGCCCTCACAATGTTTCTATTTTTATTCTCATCCAATGTACACGTACAGCATCAGAATGGGCGTGGCGGGAGTAGATTAAACGATTCGGTGGAAGGCCTCAGGGGGGGAATAGAGTTGCGGTAGCGACGCATCGCAAGAGGGTGGAAAGAGGGGGTGGAATGGGATGGGGAAGAGATTTTGACAAGGGAATTAATAAAGATCCCCATCGGTCGACGACGAAGGCGTTACTGGGCGGCAACACAGTGTCCAATCAATGCTTCCATGATTCTATTATCCCCCATTCTATTATCCCTCAGTCATGAGTTTACAAAAATTCCTTCATCTTTTTTTAATTTTTCTTGTAAACTTTGCTGTATGAATTGCTTTATTATTTGTTCTTAATTGTTAATTAACTCTTCATTACTTAATTGATTCATTTATTCATGCTTTGTTAATTGTTTAATTCTTTCATTAATTAATAAAAAGATCCATTACTCTGCTGTACCGCTAGCACTTGTGGACAAATTGATAAAACAAATAAATGAGTTCAATTGAAAAACAGAAATTATTGGAAATGGAAATTGAGGTAAATATATTCTCGAAATTTTACTTAATTCAGAATTTAGTACAGTTTGGTACGGAATATTCATATTGGTGTTAAAAATGAGTAAGTTTGGGAATTTCTGCATTTTTTTCTATTGAATTTTCAGTGAACTTCAGTGACTTTTAACCCCGAAATCGAATTCAATGTCGCTCTCCTGAGAATTTCTACAAAGCTGTCCTGAAATTTCAATTTTTTTCTGACAGTATAGGAAGATTGAAGAAGATTTGTGGTCCCCACTTGACCCTCTTGACCCTCATAAACCTAACCCGCATCTCGTTTATTTATTCATTAACCAAGGAGCCCCATCACTTGACAAGAAAATCATTATATTAATAAATACTGCACTGCAATCGTGTCCAATTCCCCCAGAACTCCATTACCCCCTACCCTCGTTCAAAAATTAATAAAAATCCCCCCGCCACGTTTAACATTCCCCTAATGAACTTTCAAATTAATCGACAATCGATTTTCAATCAACCAACTTTCTCATCCAACGAGATTTTTATATTTGAGGGGATTGCAGAAAAATCAGTTCCTCAGGGGGTGGGGGAGGAAAGTGGGAGTGGGTCTCTGTTATTATCTTGATAATATAAAGCAGAACGGTGAGCGCGGGGGGTGGGACTGGGGGGAAACGAGAGGAAAGAAAAAGATGAAAAATGAATAAAGAAAGAGGGCTGCAGTTTGTGGGAATGCAGAAGCGTATATACCACCAGTACAGTGATTTAAAAAATACGTATATATGTATACAGAGTTATAGGGAAAAGTCAGGGTCCAGGAAGCACAGTGGTGGCAGTGGTCGGGAGGCATCAGACAGAGGCACATAGCCCCAAGCCATGTAATTCATTACTAAAGCAATCTCACCCTGGCTCCCAACCCGCTCTCTCTCCGCCTGCACCGACTCTCTCGCTCCCTCTCTCTCTCTCTCTCTCTCTCGCCGCTACCCAACTACCCTCCCACCTCGCTGTCTCTCTTTTTCTCACTCCCGTGCACTTCCCTCCCCCGCCCCTGACCCATCAGCCTCTCCGCGCCACGTTATAATATAAAAAAAAATGCCGAATAGAGTAGCGCGCTGACAACAAAACAAACATGAAATACAAAGCCGCGTTCTCATAATTAAAAAGATTGCGTTGTGCCTCTCTTATAACCACCCCCTCCCCTGAACCCCCTGACGGTCTTTTCTTTTTTATGCTCCCTGTCCCGAGTCGGAGGGACATTTCTTTCTGGCTTCTTTTAGCAGGTTTTGTTCTTCGTTTCTCAGGGGGCGGGGGTATGAAGTTGTATTTATTTGAATTGTATAATTTTTTTGAGTTGTATTTTGTTCATTGCTGAGACATGTTTATTCGGTGGTATAACTTGTTTTTTTGTACTTGATATGACTAATTAGATCGAGAATGGAGATGTCGAAATGAAATGTCATCATTTAATTAAGTTATTTATAGTATGAATAATAATAAAGGTTTTTTACTTCTTTTTATATCCTATCCCGAGTCGAAGGAACATTTCTTTCTGGCTTTTTTGACAGGTTTACCCACACGGAAAAGGTTATATTTTTAAAAATATATTTAAAAAATATTTGAAATATATGTTCTATATATATTTTTTGTATATTCTTTGTAAATTTGAAAAATATATGGAATTGACCCATATTACATTTTTTGTTATAATTTTTTTGGTGGGGGTATTCTTCATTTTATTTTAGAGATTTTGTAGAGGGTGGGGGTATCACGTTGTTTTTATTTGAATTGCATAATTTTGTCGACGGCCTTTGTCTAGACACGAGAAATTCTCACCAGGGACCATTTCCCTCAATTTACCCAAATTCCCAAAATCCCTCCATCTCTCTCACACAGAAAATTAAACCCTAATCCTCAAAACTTTCCTGTCATAAACATTTCATCCTCACCATAAACCGGGTCCCAAATACTCCACTGTTTATGGTTATTGCCATAATCCCTTAATGAAGTTTTGAATAATGATAATAAGTTTTAAATAACAACAATAATTTTTTTTTCTTTTTTTATACTTTCAGGCCCGAGCGGGAGGGGCATTTCTTTCTGGATCTTTTTAGCAGGTGCTATTCTTAGTTTTGTAGGGGGGGGGGAGGTGAAGTTGTATTTATTTCCGTAGCGAAGCGGTAAACCGGTTCAAGTCGACTTAGCTCTACGCTGAGTTTTTGAGGAATATCTCCGAATTCAAGAGAAATAGCGAAATTTTTATTGAAACCTTTTTTGTAGAGATAATTGAGAGCTACAAAAAAGGTTATTACAAAAAAATTTCTATGTTCCTTAGGTTCCGAGATATTCATTAAAAACTGACCAATAGTCTAAATCGACTTAAACCGGTTTACCGCTTCGCTACTGATTTGAATTGCATAATCTTCTCAAGTTATTGGATTTGGTTAATTGCTGAGGTCTAGTATTTATTGATATAAAATATGTTTAAGTATTTGATATGACTAATTAAATCCAGAAAGAAGATCTCACAGTTACATGCGATCAATTAGTTAATTTATTCATTTTCTGGAGTTATTTTCAATGATAAATCCGAATAATAATCAATGAAATTGAGATTGTGGGGACTCTGATAAAAAAAACTACAAAGAATACTACAAAGAATATATTGTCCCCCGATTTTAGTTCCAATTATGCCCATTTTTCCATGGAATAAAAAAGAAACTACACTTGGATGCCACAATCGAATGGCAATAATTCATCAAAGAGAAGAATAAGGAAGAATTCCGAGACTCATACCCAACACAAGTTGAAAGACAATGATTACAATTCGAAGGATAGGCTAGTGTGGCCCTCCCCTCTCCTTCCCCCCCCCCCCCCTTTTAGCCATAAATCCCGCGGTTTCTGTGGAGTTGTATCTTTATCTTTGTTTTCCTCCCCGTGGTCTTTTTATTTCCACGTGAAAACGGTTTTTCGAAGGGTGTGGACTCGGTGGTAACCGCCCCAAACTCCAACCCTCGGACCAATCCCCATATTCGCGCAATCTCCGAGCAACCCTCGGTTATCGCGAGGGGTTATGTGAGGTGCCTCGGTGGCGCAGATTCGCTCAGTCAGTCTTCATCCCTCGGCACCGGTACAAGTCACCCCTGAAGAGGGTGCAAGTGTCATTGAAAATACTTGGAGAATAGTTTTGAATTGTCGTGTGGCATTGGAAAAAAATTTGAACAGAGAATTGCAATTTAAATGAATGAATAGAGACGATTGAGTTCATTTTTTTTCGGGTGTGAGTTTGAATTATTGGACATGGCTGGGCCTTATCTGTCGCCCCTTGGGCCTCAGGCCGATCTTCTCACTGAGTACATGTTCGGCCGACGGCGTCAGGTCAGTGTACGTTTCTATTCTTTCTTACTATCTTTCCTCGATACTTTCAAACTATTTTTTCTCAATTCCTCGCTTTAACAATTATTTTTTAAATAGACGGAATTAAACTCTGATATTTTTGCATTTTAAATAACAAAGCATTAATAACGATGATGTTTCGCGTGAAGTAGCGCTTAATTCCTCAAAAAATCTGTAATAATTATGGAAATATCGTGACAATAATGTCTGATAAAGACCACGTGGATAAATTTGTATAGTTAAATTTTTTTTCCATGATTTATGAAACCTTGAAGACGTTATAAGTTTCGAAAGACGGATTACGGCTATCAGAATGTTCCATTTGTCGCTGAAATCCTAGTGGCGATAAAAGCGGGATGAATAAAAAAATTAATGAAGGAGTAATTAAATCACTGATTAATGGATTCACCCGATAAGAGAATTATATTAGATTTTCTTTCCAATTTCCTCTGCCGCAGAGACGCAATCGAACGACCTTCACACCCCAGCAACTCCAAGAGCTCGAGTCCCTCTTCCAGAAGACCCACTACCCGGATGTATTCTTGCGCGAAGAGGTGGCCCTCAGAATCTCGTTATCAGAAGCTCGAGTTCAGGTAAAGGACGTCAAAGAAAAATAAAAAGAATGAGTGAATAATTGCGGAAACTTCAGGTGTGGTTCCAGAACCGACGAGCAAAGTGGCGTAAGCAGGCGCGCCTTCAGCTGCTCCAGGACGCCTGGAGGATGCGTTGCCTCGGTCTTGGCAGTGCGGCACCACTTCTACTTAGACCCCCGCCTGGGGCTGGCGTAGAACGCTCAGACTCTACACCACCCCCGCCACCCTCGGCGGGACTCTCGCCACCGCAAATATCAGGTGCTCCTGATAAACTTCCGGATAATCCTGGGCATCCTGTCTGCAGGGATTATCGCATTTTACCTCCACACGGGTAAATATCTCAGTAAATTTTTTTACCGATTTCTCGATTTTTGTTGGAAGAAAAATTGAAAAAAATACCGAATTCATTTTTGAGAAAAGAATGTGGTTGGATAACTCTCCTCTCGAGAAGTTAAAAAACAAACAGTAAAATATTCCCAATTAATGTCGGAATGAAAAAACAAATTAGTCATCTCACAGGAAGGAAAATGAAGAGAAGAAATGAATTTTAGAATTCGGAAGAAGTTGAGAATAATCTCTGAATTTATATTTGAAAATAATATGATTAAATAACTCCCTTCTCAAAAAATGAGAAAAAATAAAAAATTTTCAACTAATTTTTAAATAAAAAAAAATTATTCGTCTCAAAGGAAGGGGAATGAAGGGAAGAAACTCAAAATGAATTTGAGAATTGGAAAATTCCGAATTTTATGTTTGAAGACAATGTGATTAAATAACTTCCCTCTCAAGAAATCAAAAAAGCAATAAAATATTTGCAAATAAATTTTAAATGAAAAAAAATTAATCATGTCGAAGGAAGGGAAATGAAGAGAAGAACCTCTAAATCAATTTTCGAATTGGAAACGACAAATAAAATACGACGAATTGATTTGTTTGAATGAAACAAAACTGTTGTGCAATTTCATGTCTTCAGATACTCAATGACATGTGAAAAATCGCCAGAACATGGCAAATGCAGTTGTGGTTCTCCGCCACGAAGTACATCAACACCATCAAGTGTCGAAGTGGATTTAGCGCCTCGTGACAGACCCCAAGAGGCAGAAATGGATCTGACTGTCAAGACTCCACTCCCCACACGTCACCCTCAAATTCCCCCGCTCTTTCACCACATTCCGAGTGAATCCCGGCATGACCTGAGCCCTGTGCCGATGTCCATGGACGAGCCACTAGACGTAACTCTAAATGGCAACAGAAATAACAACTAGACAACGTGAAATCACCTCTTTATGTTGAACGCCTAGTGGATCTCCAGTGATTGCTACTCTCATGTCTGACTATTTCTCCTCGAATAATTGTCCTTGAATTCAACGCTCATGTAAATAAACCGCAATCAGCATATCTTTGAAAAAAAATCGTAAATGCAGGCAAATGACTAGTTGGTAACTGTAATGGACGCGTAGTTACTTCTAGGGATCAGAGACAGGAAGAAAATAAGCAACAATGAGGTGCCATTATTTTTTTTGGGTTCAGTTGAAAGAGAATCCATTGACGAAGCATGGAGAGACGGATCTCAGAAAAATTACCCCTGGTTTTCAGTAATCGTGTAATGTATTGGCTTCTGAGGAGTTGTTAGCACACTTTAATCAAATGACAGTTTCACGCAAATTGCAAGAACTTTCGCCATTCAAAATTCACAATTGAATGAAAAATTATTGGACACTCGAAATTCGAGTTCAATTATTGCGTGAAAAATTGTAGAAATCAGGAAAATTCAGATGAATATATTTTTAGATTTTTCATTCATTATTTTGATGAAAAATTCATGTAGATGGGGGAATTCACGTCTTTCTGCTGCGCAAAAACTCGAAATGCCATTGAATTTTCAGTGAAATTGGAAATTTCATTGTTCTTCCTCTTAAAATTTATTTTATAAAATTAAAATTGCATTAAATGTCGTTCTCATTGACATAGAATTCGATTTAAGGGGAGACACATCGTGGAATTTCAGAATTCACTGAAAATTTGAAGAAATTTCGAATTTTTGAGCAACAGGAAGACAAGAATTTCTCAATTTGCTTGAAGTTTCGTGATTTCTGTTAATTTTCATGGAATTACGTGATAATGATGATGAATGATAAGGATGTGATAATGATGATGACATGATATGATAAAAATTTCGGAGGTGCGCTGGAAATTTAAGCAAAAATTTTTTTTAATGCAGAACTTTAGTAAAAAAAAAACGCAACAACTCTCGTCAAAATCACAATATTCTTGTGAAAATATCATAATTATTGAGGGGTCGATACGCTTCACAATTACCAAAATTAACCCATAATTATCACCATACTTTTCTCTCCGTGCATCAAAATTCGCGAAACGGTGCCACAACTTTGTAACATTCGCGTACTATTATGAAACGAGAGACCACAAGCAACAAATTATACCCTCAATTTTAATTTCGCTGTTTTTTCTTCGTACCAATGTGTTATGTAAGTTCGACAATCGGGTTAAGTGGATAATTTGAAGTTATTATGAAATAATAATGACCATGAATAAAAGAAGTTATTCATCAATTTGATCCTTATGACTCTTCCTTGCGTCACGGTAATTAGGTATTCGTTACGATTGCTGATTCAGATGGATTATAAATATCGCACGGTAATCATTTCTCTCGAAGGATTCTTCTGGAATAAATCACGATAAAAATCAGTATATTCCATTTTTTTCATGAGCAACGCAGAGAAAAACTATTAGATTTTAAGAGATGTCACTGACTTTTAGACATCTATTACCAATTATTTATGATACTTGAGATTGACGACAATAACTCTGATGTCTATCACTGAAATTTGGCGCTAGTTCCCGCAAAATTTGACTAAAATCCCTGAAAATCAGTGACATTCTCCTGAAAATTAGTGACGACATGATTGAAAAATAGTGACAATGTCACTAAAAATTACTAAAAAAAAACAACAATTGAGTATAAATTCCTGAAAATCAGAACGTTTTTCTCGCCGTAAAGGTGGAAATTCCTCCGGCATACTTTATGTCTTCAATTCACCGATAATTATCGACTATTTTCTGATTGCGAAACCCGCAATTATACTTGATACTTAATACAAAAACATCAATCGCGTTCACTCGATAATGAAAATCGATCCGCTGACCTCGGCATTTGATTAAAGACCCCATCCGAACCACGAAGATAACCCGTAAAATGTGAACTATTGTAGTGCACGTGGTAATGCAGGACTTATAAGATCGGGCTGTATGTGACCGCATGCATTGGCTCGACACAGCCATACCAAAAGGCTACATAATGTAGTGGTGACCGGTTCATCCACACACTGGGTCAACCGCTCGTTTGTGTGTGCAACGAAAAAAAAAGAATTAAAAGAGAAAGAGTAGCCTGGCGAACGCCAAGTGGAAAAGGGTAAGACGAGGACGGCCGGTGGCTTGTGGTGGCTGACTATTGGAGTGAAAAGGAGAGGCAACAAGAGTTTACGCGCCTCCTCGTGGCGCATTTCAAGTTCAGTTCCCGTGGGACCGCCGGCCTCGCTCGTTCGCAAACCATTCGTTGAACATGAGAATATTCTAACGTTTTATAAAATGTATTTACACGCTTTCAAAGCCTAAAACGGGATTTGATAATTCTCACCCGTTAAATATCATTGAAAATATCGTCGAGATGTTAGTTACGTAAATCACAATCTCCAAGAGGTAAGAAAACTAATTAATCCCCTGTCGCATCTGTTTCTTAAGTCCAACAACTCGTAATCTCTCCAAAAATGACTTTAGTCATTATTCGATTGGGAATGATGAATCAAACTGTCCCCGCTATCCCCAAGTGCTTTACGGAGAGAAATGCTCAGTAAAAATTACGGAACTCACAATTCGCTCACCGATTACGGAATCGACTCAGAAAATTTAAGTGACCGTATCGTAATTTTTCACAGGAGATTCAAATAAAAATTACGGAACGCTTCGGAAAAATTCCGAGACAGTTCCGTAAAACTTCCTACATCCAAATTTCGCTCCGGAATTACGGAAAAGATACGTAATTTTTATTGAATATTTCTCTCCGTGTTGAAATACCGATAATAATGAAGATAAAATGTTAAGTATTTTCTACCAAACAGCATCCGGGAAATGGCTTATCGTCCCCTGCAGTCGTTGAAATGCAATCAAGACCACACGAGCAAAGCAAAAACTCATTGCGCCTCTCCTCTCCGCCCCTCTTCCTCCGTGCATTTGTATTCATCGCGCTGTGTCGCATCGCAAAATTCATTCGCACACAAGTGCAACAGTTTTAGTGGCGAACAATGAGCCTTAGTTAGTTCCACCTCGTGCTCAATCCAACTTGTATTGGTACGATGAACTCTAATCTGAGGTTCAATTACAATTGCCAAACTTGAAATTCTAGCGCTGAACTTTGCGGGAACATTGTTGTCGGTCCCTTGTTCCACTCGCCCTGCAATCGGGCTGAATCAATTAAGTGCATGGATTACTATATCCGCCGTTGACATCGCGTTCACAATTTCTCGCTGAACATGAGGGTGACGTGTGTCATTTGCTTCTCGCTGTTTCTAGCTATCGAAATGATATTTGCGGTTGCCTGGATCCTACTGTACACCGCAGCCGAGAGCCATCAAGCCAGGTGAGCCCGCAACAATGGAAACAATGAAAAGACTTGGGAACTTGCATGATTTTTTTCAATTTTTTATGGCACTACGTGCAATGAGTCGAATTTATCGCTTAAAACGCGACTTCTGCACGGCGGGACATAAAATATTATAGATCATTCGGGCATAAACTTCGTTTTTAACGAGTGCGAAGTTTACACATTCTTTTGTCTGTCCTCACATCCCTTGAAAACGAAATTTGTGCCATTGTACTATATTGTACTATTAATCTCACGCTTCAGCCTTGAATGATTAATTTTTCATTCATGAATGTTAGAAATATTGCTCGTTGATAATTGATAATTGATTGATAGTTGAGAGTTGACTGTTGAAGCTTGAAGATTTCAAACGCTTTGAAATCGCTAATGACGCCACAGGGGTGGTCGAACGCTGGACCAATCGCAGAATGGCTCGTGCCAATCTAACCTTAACCTAACGCGCGCCTTATCCAATGGATGGCGGCAGCTCCCCTCTCGTCTTACATTCGACAAACGGAGCGCTACTTATGCAACTTTGTGACGTCATGAACGAAACAGTAGATTTCAAAAGCGTCTGATTTTCTTTCAATTATTATAAAATATCTATTTAATATTTCTAATATTTCTCCATAATTTTTTTCGTTCAACTATCTACGGGTTAGGTAGAATGCGGAATAGGGAAAAGTAAGGGGCATGCAAGTTCCCTACACTGCTAGAAATTTTGCGAAATTCCAGTCACAGCGTCATCTAAATTTTCGATGTTGTACGCTCACTAAATTTCTCATTCATCTTGAAAATTCACGAAAATTAGGGTTTCATGTTAAAAAATCATCGATTTTTCAATGAAAGCTTGAGTTTCTAAACTCATCGTGAAAATTGAACAGCACATACAATTCAATTTTCAATAGATCAAGGATTCAGAAAAGTTGTTGCCTGAGTTTTCAAAATTTTCAAGGTTTTTCAGTGCCGTATACTTCAATATTGAAGAAATTAACTGATTCGTCAATGAAGAAAGATACAGAAATTTCATGTAACTTTGCCGTTGTTGAAAATTTCAAGTTTTTTCACTTGAAATTTCAAGAATAATTTTCTAACAGTGTATTCACACAATTTATCAATTTACCAAAGCAACCAGACACCTAACTCCTCAGGAATTTCGCTTCAACTGCGTAAAACCTGTCATTACGAGAATGCTCGCTCATTAAGTTCACGTTAACTGTAAATGAGGGTCGCAAACCCTCATTTACAATTAACTTTTGCCCTTTAGTTTCTTCCGGACTTTTGAGTGCATTAATGAGCAATGCCAGAGAACGGGACGACCGCTATCAGTTCTAGATCACGAGAAATTGAAAATCAATGGACAGCACACGACTTTGGCCGCTTGCAAGCTGGTGTGCGGAGCCAGTGCCGGCCTGTGGCCTTTACCCACTGGAAGTTTTAGTATTGGGAAAGATGTTAGTATGAATTTAATTACGAAATCGTAAAACGAAATTAATTACGAATTCAAATTGATTTCGCTTATGCCTTTGGAGTCAAGGGATTTATTTTTTTGAGAGATTAATTTTTTTTATTCATTTTGTTGTATCGCTTCACCACTTCCTTCAATGCTCCATTATTATTTTTTGTTATCAAGTCATAAAACGAAATGAATGCAAAGTGGAAATATTATTTTGCTAATGTCTTCGAAGTGGAGAGATTTATGGAATTTTATCAAGAGACCTTCTTGTAGAAAATTTCAAAGGCTACATAAGGTCTTTTTATTAAGTTTTTTGAAGTTTTTCATTTCTAAAATATTCGCGAAATTAGAGAAATTCAGTAGTGAAGTGGTAAAACGGTTTAAGTCGACGTATCTCTTAGTTGAGTTTTTCAAGAATATCTCCGAATGTAAAGGAGATAACGATATCTTCGTACTAACCCCTTTCTACAGCAAACTGAGTGCTACAAAAAAGGTCATGACAAAAATTCTGCTATCTCCCTTAGATTCCGAGTTATTCACTGAAAAATAGCCAATAGTCAAAATCGACTTAAACCGTTTTCAATTTGCTTTATTCAATTTGCGTTATCTCTACCACTTCCTCCATACGAAATTACAGAATAATATCCATCAGAAATTAAATTTTATCCCACAAATATCTTCAAAATGAAGAGACTTTTGAGAATGAATTGAAAAATGTCTTCAAAGAAATTATTGCAAATCTATTAATTTCGAAAATACCGAGTAAGAAACGTTAATAATGGGCATATAATTTGCTTTCCTCCGTTTCGTTTTATCTCTTCACCTTCTTACTTCATTATTACTCTTGCAGTATCTCCCCATACAACCCGACAAAATTATCTTCGACGTGAAAGCGATCCCCTCGGGAGTCGACTCATTTATCTCCGAAGTAATCGACATATTTACATCAAACGTTCAATCATACTGCGGTAATAACTGTGATGGAGTCGGCTCCTCGGTGACTGTCCACATCGAGGTGGAGTCGGGGAGCCTCGGACTCGACTGGAATACCCGCGAGGACTACACTCTTCGAATCGCTAGTAAAGGTAATACTGGGATAGACCAGGGACACTCAACTCAACGAAGCGGTAAAGCGGTTTAAGTCAATTTCGACTATTGACCAGTTTTCAATGAATATCTCGGAATCTAAGAGAGATGGCAAAATTTTTGTCATAACCTTTTTTGTAGAGCCGAGTGAGACCTACAATAAATGTAATTACGAAAATTTCGGTATCTCCCTTAGATTCGGAAATATTCCTCAAAAACTCAACTAGGAGATGAGTCGACTTAAACTGTTTTACCACTTCGCTGCTGAACTCAAGACAGAGAGAAAAAAGTTTTGATTTTCAAGAATATATCCCACTGATTTTTGGGAAATCAATCCTCGATAATTCTGATCACTAATTTTTGGTGACAAATTTCGGAAAATTGGAGAAGGGTCCGTGAAAATCAGGGACATTTTCCTGAAAATTAGCGACAATATCCGCAGTAATTACTGATAATGTCATTAAAAATTCAGGACAAAATCTCTCAATTTCAGAATTTTGCACTCGTTGAATTTTTTTAGAAAAATTCTAGCGCTGTTCAATTTTGCAAAATTCTAGCTGTTCCATTTTGAAAAATTGTAGCTGCAGTAGAATTTTGGGCTATTTCTGGTAAAATTTTGTGAGGATATCTCTAAAAATGTCATATTAATACAAAAAAAAATTCACGTGTTACCCAATAAAATTTCCAGTCTGAGTACTCAAATTGTTCTAAAAAATTTCCCTTTGTATAATCATTGGGGATTAATTTCTGAAAATCAGCGGCAATATCCCCAGTAATTACTGATAATGTCATTAAAAATTCAGGACAAAATCTTTCAATTTCAGAATTTTGCACTCGTTGAATTTTTTTAAAAAAATTCTAGCGCTGTTCAATTTAGAAAAATTCTAGCGCTGTTCAATTTTGCAAAATTCTAGCTGTTCCATTTTGAAAAATTATAGCTGCAGTAGAATTTTGGGCTGTTTCTAGTAAAATTTCGTGAGGATATCTCTAAGAATGTCATATCAATACAAAAAAAAATTCACGTGTTACCCAATAAAATTTCCAGTCCGAGTACTCAAATTTTTCTAAAAAATTTCCCTTCGTATAATCATTGGGGATTAATTTCTGAAAATCAGCGACAAATCCACAGTAATTGGGGACGGAACTTTTTGTTCTTTGTGAATAATTCGGAGAATATTCGTATCCTCAGGCACCGAGGCGGACGTTATTATCACTGCGCACACGGTTTACGGGGCTCGTCACGCTCTGGAGGCTCTCTCGCAGCTAATTGCACCGATCGTCAAGTCCAGTATCAAGAGGGGGTTGGTGATCGTCAATAAGGCTGATATTGAGGACAAACCGGTGTTCAAGCACAGGGGACTGATGATAGACACTGGAAGGAATTATCTGCCGGTGACAGCGATTCTTAGAACTATCGATGGACTTGCAGCGACCAAAATGAATGTGCTGCATTGGCACGCCACTGATTCGCAGAGCTTTCCGTTGCAGATTAAGAGTCGACCGTTGATGTCGCGGTAAGAATAAATTCAGGAGTAAAATTATTAAAACGAAAGGGTTAAAAAATTCTATGCGTTATCCATTAAAAATTTTAGGCTGAAATTATCGGTCAACTTTTTGGAAATTTTTATCAGATGACGGTTCGCCTGAAGTTTCAAGGAATTTCGCTATTGAAAATTTACAATTTGATGGAAAAAACTATGGAAACTCAATTTTAATTTAATCATTTCATGAAAATCAATAGAAACGAGGAAAAATCAGGCGAATTTCCTTGAATATGCGATTTCACTCAATTGAATTTGTAAAATCAAGTGAATTATTTATTTCATTGCGATAATTTGGTGTTAAAATTGCTGTGGAAATAAACGAGTCAAGAAAATTCTGCACTCGATATTTCATAAAATATCTCGGGAGTGGGTGGTTCGAGTGTAGTTTGTTAAGAAATAGATTCTTCCACAATCACTCGGTCGTGAGCAATTTCCAAGACATTAATATCACGCCATAACTAACTCGATACTTACATTATGCCGAGAACAGAATTTTCATCTGATAATCCCTTTTAAGATGCGCATTCCTGACAGTGCGGTTTATTTTTCATGAAATAAAAAAATTAAAAAATTGAAAAATGAACGGAAATTGGTGATTTTTCTAAAAGAAACGAAAAACGGCATTGGATTTGAATTTTGAGAACATGTTTTCAGGTATGGTGCTTACTCCCCTGGGATGATATACACCCCAGAGGACGTGGGGCGTATAAAAAACTACGCGAAATACCGTGGAGTCAGGGTGATCCTGGAGATGGACTCTCCAGCCCATGCGGCAACCGGTTGGGAGTGGGGCGAGACTGCGGGGCTAGGGAAGCTCGCAGTTTGTGTTGAGCAACAGCCCTGGAGGAATTTCTGTGTTCAACCCCCTTGTGGACAACTGAACCCTGTGAATCCTCATGTGTTCGATATTCTCAGGGACGTTTACAGGGAATTCTTCTCGATATTGGGGAATGATAGCGTCCTTCATGTTGGAGGAGACGAGGTAAATAGCCCCCACGTCAATAAATTGATTAATTAATTAATCGATCGAGACCAATGCGAAGGAAAGCGAAACGTTGCAAATTAATCATATCAATAAAAATTGAAAACAGAATGTCGCGAATTTATAGTAAATTAAGTATTGTTATTCTTTTTCACTAACTCTTCTGCATTCAGTCACTGTCAGATATCCCCACATTAATAATTTAATTGATTAATTAATCCAGATGAATGGAAAGAAAACCAAAACATTGCAAATTAATTAGATTATTAAAAACTAAAAACAGAACATCGCGAATTTATAGCAAATTGAGTATTGTCATTCTTCTTCACTAACTTTTCTAGATTCAGTCACAGTCAAATATCCCCACGCCAATAAATAAATGAATTAATTAATCCAGATGAATGCGAAGAAAAGCAAAACATTGCAAATTGATCAGATAATTAAAAACTAAAAACAGAACGTTGCGATTTTACAGCAAATTGATGCCAGTCAAATATCCCCACGTCAATAAATGAATAAATTAATTAATCCAGATGATTGCAAATTGATTAGATCATTAAAAACTAAAAACAGAACATTGCCAATTTATAGCAAATTGAGTATTGTTATTCTTTTCCACTATCCCATGGCCTTGATTCACGAACTTAAAGTTGCTGGAAATGAACAACAGAATTAACAATGAGAGAAAAATTCCCATTCATAAAATTAAAATCCATTCGTAAATTTGAAATTCCAGCTCTGGTTGCCATGCTGGAACTCCACCGAAGAGATCGTGGAGAATATGCAGGGGAGAGGCTGGGGGAGAACCCCCGAGGACTTTCTCAAACTCTGGGGAGAGTTCCACATTAAGCAATTGAAGGTCATAAGTGACCTCAAAGAGAAGGACGACTCTGTGATCATCTGGAGCTCTGGACTCACTGAGCCCAATGTCATTGAGCAGTTCCTCGACAAAAATAGATTTATCATCCAAACGTGGGTGCCAGCTGCTTCTACCGTTCCCGAGGAACTCCTCAAACGTGGGTATAAATTGATTATTTCAACGAAAGACGCTTGGTACTTGGATCACGGCTTCTGGGGGAGCACAAAGTACCATTCGTGGCGAGATGTCTACGAGAATAGAATCCCGAGGGAGGTACGTGAGATTTCTCTGAATTCTAATTTTGATCGCTCTGAATCGGTTCGATTAACCCTGAACGGGCATATTGGATCAAAACTGCACGGTCCTAATTATTCATGCACATTCTATTCATGCAAATATTGTGGAAGAAGCTAGTGAATTCGATAGAAAATTCTATTGGATTCCGATTGAAGTTCCAGTAGAAATTTTATCAACTTTTGATTCTATTGAAGAAATCCGCAGCTTCACTACGCGTTTCGAAAAAATATCGTTCTATGAAAAATATGATATATGATGAATATGATATGATTTTTCACCTCGATTGTTCTTCTCTTTTCAATAAAAAAGACATCGAAAATTTGAGCCGAGGAATTTCTGTAGAAAATCGCGATTGAATAAGCCCCGTAGAAATTCAATTATATTATTCCATATGAATTCCATTGAGAAAAACGCGCAGTTAGAAATCCAATAGAATTTTCCTGGGAATGCACGAGGTTTTTCTATGAAATTTTTGTATTTTTCCAATAAATTGTTGCTTCTGCGAAATAGTTATCTCTTTCAAAGAACCTTATTTCCTTTTGATTTCTGCTCCCAGTGAAGTATCTTCAGACTTCACATAAATCCAGGGAAATTATTTGCATTTGATAAAACCAATGAGTCTATCAAAAAACACATCAAATAAATATGTTTTCAAATAGAACACAAGTGAGTCCTTGTTTTAAGTTAAGACTCAATTAGTTAACAATGAAGTCATTGTTTTGCTGGTATTTACTTGAATCAAACCAATAGTTTACTTGATTCTAACAGAATTCCGTTGAAAAAATACCCGAACTTATTGATTGTTAATAAAAATATTATTGAAATGAATAGAGTAATTGTCGATAAAGAGTCTTATTTACCTTAAACACAACATTTCTCTTACTGCACATTTTTAAGAAAACAAGTGAACCCTTGATTTAAGTTAAGTCATTGTTTTGCTGGTATTTACTTGAATCAAATTAATAGTTTATTTGATTCTAACAGAGAATTCCATTGAAAAAATACACGAACTTATTGATTGTCAATAAAAAATTGTTGAAATGAATAGAGTAATTGTAAATAAAGAGTCTTATGTAACTCAAACACAACATTTCTCTTACGGTACAATTAGATTTCTTCCACCGATTCAATGAAAGAAAAAAAATACTGTTCATGCACCCGTGATAATGTTGAATTTTTCATGTATCTTACCTTGAAAATGAACTTCAGGAGACTGTCCTCGGTGGCGAAGTCTGCATGTGGGGGGAGTACGTGAATCAGGGTGGCCTAGACTCTCGCATCTGGCCGAGAGCGGCAGCAGCCGGCGAGAGACTCTGGACAGACTCCGCGACCCTCAAAACCGTCGACGTCGAGCCGAGGTTGCAGGCTCACAGGGAGAGATTGGAGAGCCGGAACGTCAAGGCTGATGCCATATCCCCGGCGTGGTGTGCACAGCACGCAACAAAGTGCGACTGAAATTAATTACCAAAATTTTTAGTATTCTCGGAATTTTTGCATTGAATGTGATTGATCTCGTTGATTATTATCCGTTGGAAACTGGACAATTGTAAATGAATAAATATTTTTTATATGGTATTCTAGTTTGGAACATTTTTTGAAGATGATTATTACAATTGAATCGATTTTTCTGGTGTTGAAGTGTTATTCTCTGAAGTTTATTCCCGATTGAACATAAATAGAATATTTTATTTCCTTGACGCTACTTTTACAGCTTTACATCTACACAAGCCATAGACGGATAAATCTTCTTGATATTATATTGAAGTTAGTATTGAATTTAAAAAAAACTATTTTATTCTTCACTTCACAAAAACTTTTATGATATAGCACTTTTGGTGAACGATATGTCGTATAAAAAATGTATTAACCATGAAAAAATACGATTTTTGGTCATTTATATCCTTTCATTATTCACCCGTTCAATCATTCATTGTATTCATTCATTCTAGAACAGAAATCTCCTTGATATTAGATTGAAGTCAGTATTGAATTTAAAAAAACTATTTTATTCTTCACTGGTTTTCATTATTCAAGTTTATTATCAATTGAGGAGTAAACAGCATCATTACTTGATGCATGAAGATTCCGAAATAAAAACTTTTATGATATAGAACTTTTGTTGGACGATATGTCGTATACAAAATGTATTAACCATGAAAAAAAAAGATTTTTTATCATCTTTCTCCTTTAATTATTCATCCATTCACCCATCCATTATTCTCAATAATTCTCAATTGAGGAGTACCGTCCTTCGACGAAATACATGAATACGAAGAAATTCTTGATATGAAACTCATCTAGTCTACACGATTAGTGAATAATTATTGCGTAGTGATTACAAAAAAACTGCAGGAAATAAACATTAATTTCTTTTGTGACATTCAGCAATGAATCCGATTATTTCACGTGTGTTACGACTTGAGGAATAAAATGCATTCTTACACGTATGCAAACAAAGATTCATACATGACGGTTGGTGCATTCTGTGTTTGTTACAAGAGTTATCTGATTATCTGTGTTCAGATGATGAGATCTGGCCTACGCCTGCGTATGCCTCCCACTAATACACTACCACAGCAGTGCTCAGCTGACGTTTTGACAATCGATGGTAGTGATCGGAAATAGAGCCTTCCGGGATATAGCAAAACCACAAGATTATGTTTATTTAATCGCGTCTTCCTTCAACTGATCTTAGAATAGTTCGTATGAAATGTCAGGGAGTAATGTCGTGGCATTAAAACCCGGGAGAACGCGTTTTATACCCGCTAATTCATCACTCTAGGTTATGTTTTTGAAGTACCGTTGTGTATTCATTGCCATGAATTTTTTAATTATTTTGTGATGAGTTTTTTTTCCCGAACTCCAGTGATATATTCTTAGTCTGCTAACTAGGTGAGCTTAATCGGTTTTTAATACAGTGAATGAATTATTCAACAATTCTGATATTTTGATGACAATGGAAATCATTTCGGTCATCTTTCCATCTTCAGATAATTTGGAATTAATTTTTTGGCTAATTATCATCAGATGTTGATGCGAAAACGTGAAATGTTAGTGTTTTTAGCCTTTTTACTCTGCATTTTTTTAAATTCAAACCTCAAGGCTCTCCGTTAGGAAGCATTTTCACAATCTTTGAATAAAATTTGAAAGAGTCCACTTTGCGAGGACGGAAATCATTTCAAAACAATTTTTTAAGATTGTAAACGTTTCCGTAAGAAATTTATAAACAATCAATTTTTTACCGCGAGGTTTTCGAGAACAAGATCTTGTAAAACAGAAAATAGATTCCCAGAAAAAATATTTTTAATGAGAAACATTTAAAAAATTAGGAAAAACTTGAAAGTTTATTTACTATGAAATAATTGAAAAATCGCCATTTTTCTAAGGATGCAGCCCTTTTCATAAATGATTCATAAACAATTAATTTTTCGCCCTAAAATAATTATATCGTAATGACAACAACTGTCTTTATATCCACAATTTCACGAAAAAATCGACTCTATATAAATAAAAAGGTTCTGCAAGTTTCAACGATATTATTTTGTTGAATTATTATTGATTTATTGGACGAGATGGGTTCAAAAAAGATTAATTTACTGCCCAATGTAATTTGAATGACGGATATTAATTATTAATATTAATTAATTATTTTCTAATTTTTCACTGAATAATTGCATTCATCATGTAATCGATATATTAATTATCAGTACAGAACTATCAATTATTCCGCGACCTGAATATCCATTTGCGGAAGAATAATAAAATAAAATGGACATAATAGACTTGGACGTCAATATTATTTCAGTAGCGAAGTGGTCAAACGGTTTAAGTCAATTTAGTCTTTAGTTGAGTTTTCCAGAAATATTTCCGAATTTAATGGAGATAGCGAAATTTTCATAATAACCTTTTTTCAAGAGTGAATTAAGTGCTACTAAAAAGGTTACGAGAAAAATTTTGCCATTTCCCTTAGATTTCGAGATACTCATTAAAAACTGGCCAATAACCAAAATCGACTTAAACCGGTTGACCACTTCGCTACTGATTGATTTATTAGAAGCGCTGGTTCTAAAACAGATTAATTTCCTGCGAAATGTAATTTGAATGACTGATATTATCCATGAATTATTTTCTAATTTTTCACTGAATAATTCCATTCATCATGTAATCGATATATTAATCATCAGTACATAACTATCAATTATTCCACGACCTGAATATCCATTTTCAGAAGAATAATAAATTAAAATGGACATAATAGACTTGGACGTCCTCGAAACAAGTTCTCGTCCAATAAAAAACTCCGGAGTAAGATGCAACTGCATAAGCTCAAACTCAGCCTGTTACATAGCAGTGACAATCGCCACTCTGGGATTTCTCGGGGCCATTGTCTTCATCTGTAGAGATTACATTAAAGTCCTGCTCTACTGGATCGAGCACCAGGACACGTGGGTGATCACAGTCATCGTCACGGCACTTTTTACAGTCGTTTCGTTTCCCATAGTCATAGGGTATTTATTCCTCATCATTGCGAGTGGGTATATGTTTGGCATTGTCAGGGGCATTGCCATGGTCGTCCTGGGGGCGAATCTGGGAATCGCAGTGGCACATACTACACTCAGTGCTCTATCCACCAAATTACCTATCGGGGCGCTCTTGAGGAGCGAAACTGCGAGGGCTATCTTGAGAGTCATATCAGGACCACAGGCCTTTAGAGTCGTTCTCTTTGCGAGGCTCACGCCTATACCTTTCGGACTGCAAAATACTATTTTTGCTGTGAGTACGAAACACAAGACCCAGACCATTCTATCGTTAATTAGAAATTTTGAAACCCGAGGCAGGAAAAAATTTCAGAGAAAAACTCAGTGAATTCAANAATTTTCATAATAACCTTTTTTCAAGAGTGAATTAAGTGCTACTAAAAAGGTTACGAGAAAAATTTTGCCATTTCCCTTAGATTTCGAGATACTCATTAAAAACTGGCCAATAACCAAAATCGACTTAAACCGGTTGACCACTTCGCTACTGATTGATTTATTAGAAGCGCTGGTTCTAAAACAGATTAATTTCCTGCGAAATGTAATTTGAATGACTGATATTATCCATGAATTATTTTCTAATTTTTCACTGAATAATTCCATTCATCATGTAATCGATATATTAATCATCAGTACATAACTATCAATTATTCCACGACCTGAATATCCATTTTCAGAAGAATAATAAATTAAAATGGACATAATAGACTTGGACGTCCTCGAAACAAGTTCTCGTCCAATAAAAAACTCCGGAGTAAGATGCAACTGCATAAGCTCAAACTCAGCCTGTTACATAGCAGTGACAATCGCCACTCTGGGATTTCTCGGGGCCATTGTCTTCATCTGTAGAGATTACATTAAAGTCCTGCTCTACTGGATTGAGCACCAGGACACGTGGGTGATCACAGTCATCGTCACGGCACTTTTTACAGTCGTTTCGTTTCCCATAGTCATAGGGTATTTATTCCTCATCATTGCGAGTGGGTATATGTTTGGCATTGTCAGGGGCATTGCCATGGTCGTCCTGGGGGCGAATCTGGGAATCGCAGTGGCACATACTACACTCAGTGCTCTATCCACCAAATTACCTATCGGGGCGCTCTTGAGGAGCGAAACTGCGAGGGCTATCTTGAGAGTCATATCAGGACCACAGGCCTTTAGAGTCGTTCTCTTTGCGAGGCTCACGCCTATACCTTTCGGACTGCAAAATACTATTTTTGCTGTGAGTACGAAACACAAGACCCAGACCATTCTATCGTTAATTAGAAATTTTGAAACCCGAGGCAGGAAAAAATTTCAGAGAAAAACTCAGTGAATTCAATAGAAAATTTTATCGAATTTATTCTCTTTTTTTTCATTTTTCATTGGCTCCTCAGAGTACAACAGCGTTAGCCAATAACGGGACTCATAACTTATATATTACATAGTGTGTATGAATAATTAAAATAAAATTAACTGGTTAGATTACATATTGAACTTTTCTATTGAACTTTCTATTAGGTTTTTTACTGCCCTTTTTTTAGAAAATGTCCAAGAGAAACTATTTTATAGAAAAAATCAGCAGAATTTCATCTTTCTATACAAGTTTTTTTTTCTTTATTAAGACGTTTTTTATAAGAATCTTCGATATGATTTTACTAACTTCTGTAGGAAATATCTCAACAGAATGAGTTCTACGGAAAAATCGAATTCCTTCTCTGTCTCTAATTTTCTTCAGTCCTAAACTCTGATTTCGTTTGCTTTGGACAGGTCAGCAATATTTGTGGCTTAAGATATCATATCGCAAGTGCAATAGGTCTCCTCCCAGCGCAAATAATCAATGTTTACCTCGGAAGTAGTCTAAGGTCAATGCAAGACGTGTTAGAGGATAAACATACTGCTGCGACGGGATACGTAGTCTTCTGTATTCAGGTAAAATGACGAAAAGCTTGGATAATATTATTAGAAGAATGAACATTCAAAGTATTCATAAAAAAAATAACAATTCCGAATATGCTTCACTGAATTCGAATTCAATTTAATATCAAAACGCTCATGAAATCCCTTATTCATCCTGGAAATTCAGCAAAATTGAGCTTTTCATGTCAGCCCATTCATTTCCATTTTTATATTGATCTGGTAATTGTAATTTCATTAAGTATTCCAAAGATTTAATGACATTTCTGTCTATAAAATTCACCCCAGAGGAAAACTTCACGTAAATTAGTAGTTGTTGAAAATTTATAGATTTTTCACTTCAAATTTCGCAAGAAACTTCCTGAAAGTCTTGTGTAAATAATGCTTTCTGCTTTCAGATACTCGTTGCTGTCTCACTGATGGTATACGTAGTTCAGAAAGCCCGACGCGAGCTGCATCTAGCTCTCCTGGAGGCAGATCTTGCCTCCATGACGGATAATTCTCATTACCTCAATGACGCACTACCCGAGTCCAAAGGATCACTCGTGACGCTCATTGCGTAATGCGCAATGTAATTATTGACAAATATTGAATATTCTCCTCAAGAGCTCCAGGTCACATCGAGGTAGGTCTCGTCTTCGTTCAGCACTCGTTATCATAAATGACTCGACTATGATTTTCTCTCGTGAACGAAAAGTCTGGAAAAATTCAATCAGTTTAGCTGTGCCAAACAAACAAAATCATGCTTTCGATGGCGAAACGAATTTTCTGCACTACATCGTTGACCTTCCGTTTATACAATTGTTGAGTTTCTTTGTATTCATATATCCCCTGTTGATTAATTTTTCAATGGTTCATGGTACCAATTATTGACAGGCCTATTTGTTTCGAACGCAGAGTTTTTCATACATTTTTTTAATCAAATCAATTTTCTGGTGTATGCAGAAGAGATCGACAATACTCTCGCCAGAGAATTATATGTATTTCCTCCAAAGAAAATAGCGAAGGATAATTGAATCTAGTATTGAGATAACCTTTGACAGCGATAGAAATTATGTTTAGATTTTTGTGTTGAAGTATTTTAATCTCTTGGGAAAGTCGAAGTAATTTAGTTTAAGAATAAAACTGATATGACGTGCACTATTTTCGTCAACGTGTGGTACTGCACCTTGTGAGTGTGAATAATTAACGTTTCGAGAACCGACAAGCACAACAAAAATTATCAAATTTAAAACAAGCTCCACGTACACTATTAAAAAAAATCGAAATTTTGGGGGCTAGTGCTTTCCATGAGAGCGACTTTGAATTTGATTTAGGGAGGAAAAATCTCACTGTAAATTTAACGAAATTCCACATTTTTAGGCGGCAGGAAGACGAGAATTCCCTAACTTCAGTTCTTAATGAGAACATGAATATTCCGTACCAAATTACACGGAAATTTCAATTAATTGAAAATATATAACCTGAATATATTGACCTGAATTTTTCTGGTTTCTATCATTTTTCATGAAACGATTGAGCTGAGATTTATAATTTCCATTGCTTTTTCCATCAACTTGTGAATTATCAGTGATGAAATACACTGTTGCAAAAAATGGAATTTCATGGACAGTTTATTAGTCATTTTCAGGGAAGTGAAAATCAATTGAATTTTTGAAAGAAAAAATCATGGGATTTTAAATCATTGAACAGCAGGAAAACAAGCATTTTCTAATTTATTTGAATTTTCAATAAAAACATGAATATTCAGTACTAAATCACGCTGAATGTTCAATGAATTGAAAATTCAAGATTCTGGATTGAATAAATTGAAATTTCCAGAAAATTAGAAATTTTGGATGACAAAATTCTTTGAAATACCAGTGGAACTGCAATGTGATGAAAATTTCCGAAAACTGTACCGAAATTTTCAGCCTAGAATTTTGAATAATGTATTCAGAATGGAATTCTATATGTACATGACAAGGTATTCAGTGTGCTCTACTAATCTTCGATTTAATGCATAATAATTCGTGCTTAGAGGGAAAAAAAATCGCAAAAATTATTTTTACACCAGTTTATCGGCTAGAACGGCGACATCGACACCTGTGCAAGTCTTCCCCTTTCAGGAAATTGATAATAATCCATTTCTGTCGCTCAAAAAGTAAAAGAGAGACGAATTGACAATTGAATTCTCTAAAAAATTATTCAATTATTTAAAAAATCATGTGGTTTGTATTCGAAGCGCATATTATGACTCTTGGATTACAGTGATATGTATATAACGTTATTGTCGAGAGATAAATAGATGAGATACGTCAGGGAGAAATAATCCCTAATACTCTTGACGTAACACTCAAGGCATTTTCATACATTAAGATTTATTTTGTAAACTTACAATTAAATTACTCAAAAATATACCTACATTCTCATTTCGAAATTGGTATAAAAAATTGTAAAATTTAATGCAAAAGTATCCCAGTAATAAAATCTGTAATTAACTAAAATGGAAAGATGATTTCGATGAATTTCTGCTCATCCTTTTATTTCATTTAATCACAGAAAATTTTCAATTGCTGACAGTATGCCCGTGATTTGTACAAATGTAAAAAATATATTACTATGGAAATAAAAAAAATGTCAAATCAATCACAGCTTGAGTTTTAAACAGCCCCGAAGTACACATTCTCCTTGCTAATTAAATTCCTGTCCCTGCAGCTCTCGAGAGCCTTTTTAATCACTTCAACAGTGAAATCTGCGTCTTCCTTGGTCACACACATGGGGGGCTTTATTCGCAGGACCTATAAATAGAAACTGATGTTAATGAATTCGATCGATTCAGCCTGGTTAGAAATACTAATGAAGTCGTGTGAAGCCTCACGTTTCCATGGATTCCGCCTTTTCCAATGAGCAGACCCATGTCCTTGATGTCCTCGAACATTGTCGCTATGTGTTCAGCCTCCAGGGGAGTCTTTTTGTCAGGGTCCGAGACTAATTCTACACCGATCATCAGACCCTTTCCTCGGACGTCTCCCACCATCGTTGGATATTCAAGCAGAAGAGTGCTTAAACGATGCAATAAGTAGGTGCCAACTTCCTTGCAATTTTCTTGAAGTTTTTCTTCTTCAATTATCTGGGAATAGAGAGAGGAGTACATTGATTCAATTATCATTAGCTAATGACGAGGGAATGAGAACAAATCTCGCCCCACTAGTAATGCGGAAATTGTAATCAGAATGGGATTTATTCTCATTGAAAATTGATGGGGTAATAAAAAATTAATTCCGCTCTAATATTAATTACAAAACTAATCAGATTTAGATTTTTTTCATATTCTTGCACACAGAACAAATTAATTGAAAAATTATTGTTCAATCTATTGTTCAATCGTAATCCGAAATTGTGTTTTAGGAATTTTTATGGGAAAGCAGGGAAAAATGTCAGGCAATGGATCAATTTTCCCCTTTGAACCGTTATTTTTCGCAAGTGAACAGCAAAATTTGGGAAACAAATCTTGTTCTATTGTTAATAAAAAAGTAATGAGGATTTGATTTGTTCTCATTGAAGATTGATGTGGTAATAAGAAATGAATTTCCCTTCATTATAATTAATCAGAATTCGATTTTTTATTGACCATTAATAGGTCAAAAAATCAATTGAAAAATGAGTGTATAATCTAAGTAAGCGAGCAAAAATGTATTGTAGGAATTTTTATTTGAAATCAAGGGAAATATACAAGGCGGAGGATAGATTTTTCCTCTTGAACCATAATTTTTCTGCATTTTCTTGCATTTTTCCTGTCGATTTGTGCTCCTTAAGTTTTCTGTCAAAACCAATTATTTTTTATGACCACAGTAAAGAGGAATGAAACGAACTGAGCTCTCAATTCCTCGATCCCCAAGATTTGAAATGTTTTGCATAAGATTACATTGAGATGTTTGACACTCGATCGAAATGGTCTTATCAACTAAATTAAAGAGAATTACACGATTGCCCGGCCTTGACACAGAAAAATGTCAAGTTGACACTGTCCCAGTGATTATATCATCGACTTACATCGAGAACCGCTGAACCAACGGCGCAGGCCACTGGGTTCCCCCCGAATGTATTAAAGTGAAGTGCCTGATTCAAACAATCTGCGATCTCTGGAGTTGTGATAACTGCACCCATGGGAAACCCATTTCCAATACCCTTCGCCATCGTCACGATGTCGGGGATGATATCGTGGCCCTGGAATCCCCAGAAGTGATCGCCCGTTCTACCAAAGCCTGTTTGCACTTCGTCGGCTATGAACAGAGCGTTTTTCGATTTTATTATGTCATATGCGCCGTGGAGGTACGTGCGGGGGTATTGAACTGCACCACCGACTCCCTGCGATAAAGTAAAAAATTACAGAATGATTTCAGTAGCGAAGTGGTAAAACGGTTTAAGTCGACTCATCTCCCAGTTGAGTTTTGGAGGAATATTTCCGAATGTGAGGGAGATAGCGACATTTTTGTAATTACATTTGTTGTAGCTCTCAATCGGCTCTACAAAAAAGGTTATAACAACAATTTTGCTTTCTCCGTAAGATTCCGAGATATTCATTGAAAACTGGTCAATAGTCAAATTGACTTGTATCGTTTTACCACTTCGCTACTGATTTGATTGGGCATTATTTCGTGATGAATTGAAGAAAAAATCGTAGAAATGATTTTTTCACTGATTCAAGACAGGGAAAACGTTTGGATTTTCCCGGAATCAAATTATCATTGAATTTTGTTGATAAATTCCTCAAAATTCGAGATGGTTTTCTGAAAATTAGTGACGATGTCACTTAAAATTGATGATAACGTCACTGAAAATTCGTTTAAAAAATTGGTGACTGAATTTCAGAAATTGCCCTCACGACATTTCGCGCTTACGCATTCCTAATAATTGAAGATAAATTCCTGGACGTCAGTGAAAATCAAAACTTTTTTTTCCTTCTGAACTTAATTTATAATTATGAAAATGAAAGTGAACATCCAGTGTTGAAAACCCTATTCTCAAGATGGTTATGATATGCGTACTTGAATACTCTCAGCAACGAACGCGGCGAACTTTCCATTATTCGGCAAAGAGAATTGAATAGTGTCTTTGAGGTCCTCTAGATACTTCTCCGCAGCAATGCACTTATTCCCAATGCACTCGCACGTCCTCCCATGCTGGGATATTGGACTGTCCCGGCATTGGGGGCCACCCCAGGGGCCTTTATACACGTCTGGATTGGTGACCTGATGATGGACAACAGACCAATTCATTCCCTAGCTAATGATGGACAACAGACAATTCTCAATCCGTTTTTATTAATTGAAAAGTCGATTTTTATTTAGAAAAAAAAGGGGGGGAATTGCATTATTTATGACTGAGAATGGCTATTGTTGCTAATATATTACACGGAGAGAAATATTGAATAAAAATTCCATATCTTTTCCGTAATTCCAGAGCCAAATTTCGTTGTAGGAAATTTCGTTTTACGGAAATGTCACGGAATTTTTCCAGAGCGTTCCGCCATTTTTATCTGAATCTCCTGTGAAAAATTACGTTACCGTCACTTAAATTTTCTGAGTCGATTCCGTGATCGGTGAGCGAATTGTGAATTCCGTAAGTTTTACTGAACATTTCTCTCCGCGTAGCAATATGATTTCGAGTGGATTAAACGCGCACTCTATCACATTATCTGTTCCACTAATGAAGACTTTTCTTAAAAGTGGAATTCTTTTTTGCTTTTACGCCCCTTTGATTATACAACGAAGATATAAACATGTGCAGACATTTAAAAATTGCAAAATCGAAAATTTTAGACTTCCTTAAGGGGAGACTACTATGAGTTTTAAAAGTCGTGACATTGGAGTGAGATTTCTCGTGCATTGAAGATCGATTATATGTATATGTCGAAAAATAAATAATTAGTGCAAACAAATTCAGGCAGAAAAATTATCCTTAAAATACTAAAAATAAATTTTCGATTCTTTCAGAACTATTTTTCGGGATTTTTTACATGAATGGTGCAATTTTTCATTAAAATAATAACGAAATTAGCTGTGTAGATGTAGAATTTCAAGAAACTAATTCGTAATTGGTATTGCGTATATTTTTCCAAATATTTTGAAAAAAAAACCTCTGTAGCTCAAAAATTGGAGGCCCTGGACTATTTTTGACATTTTAAGCGTTTGCGGGGTAAAGGAACAATAAACAATAAGTTTTTTGCATTAATTGTTCGTTTTTAGACATATATAATCGATCTTCAATGCATGAGAAATCTCATTCTAATAGCTCACGACTTAAAACTCATAGTACTCTCTCCCCGTAAGCTATCATAACGCAAACAAATTGAAAACTAAAATTTGAAGCCAAAAAAAAATATATACTCGCCTGGATGTGACCAGGGGCTGAGGCGATGGGGTACCTCCAGGTTGACATCCCAGTGGCGGAGCTCGTCGTGTAAGTGCCACCGTGATAAGAATTTTTCATTGAAATAATGTCTTGCGATCCAGTGTACAACTTGGCCATTTGAAAAGCAAGTTCATTGGATTCAGAGCCACTGTTAGTCATGTACAGTACTTTCAAGTTGCCCGGCATTTTCGCCGTCAATTTTTCAGCGTACTCGTGGTACTTCGGGTGCATATATATCGACGTCGTGTGGCTTAATTTGCTCAATTGGTTCCGCGCTGCCTCCGTCACTTTCCTAATAAAGAACGCACGTTGTCAAGGGTTGGAATGGCACGGAATTGCGCGTTACGATTGCGTTCGAGAAATTTTCGAAACGCTGGGGTTGAAGGTGGCACCGGAAGACGAATTATCCATGAGGAAAATCGAAAGTCGAATAACAAATGGATTAATAATATGCATTCACGAGCGGAGGTCAATTACCCATCCCTGAAGGATATAAATCGCTCGTTGTATCTCATTAATTCAAATTCTTTCGAAATAACTGGTGGGATAGTTGTAATTTGCACAAGGTCATCCGATAGGAGAGAATCGGTAGTGAAGTAATAGATGAAGATAACGCGGAGAATGGCTGAAGATTAGTTTGCGAATATCTTTTGAATGGACAGAGAGAAAAAAAGTTTTAATTTTCAGGGACACGTCACTCATTTTCAGAAATCTGTCACCAATTATTGGTGATACTGAACAATTAATGGAATGCACCCGATTATTAGTGATTTTTATCAATGAATGATAAAAATCACTAATAATAAAAAAAAATAAAAATTTGACAATAGATTGCCAAAAAATAGGGATGGGTTCCTGAGAATCAGGAACATTACTCTGAAAATCAGTGATAATGGCCCCAAAAATGAATGAACATGTCACTGGAAATTACTGACATATCGATGAAAATTTCATTTTACGCACAAAAGATGAAAATAATTTTTTGCAAATAATGTTGTAGACAGAAAAATCGTTTGATTTTTCCCTCCAACGCATCAGCTCCAGAGATATTTACGTAATAATCTCCATAAAGTGCTGAACAGCTCGTTTGTGATAATCTTAGCGGCATGCAGTGCTAATTACATACTTAACACCCCTGAGCGAGGACAATGCAGTTTTTAAACTCACGGATGAGAATGTCCAACGGAAACCGTGACAATTCCCCCAAACATATCCAGATATCGTCTCCCCGTGTGATCCCAGAGCCACTGCATATGACCTTCGTGAATCAGGAGTGGTTTTTTGTAGAATGGAGGAGTGGTTGGGGTCACCGAAGTCATCCTACAAGACTTGACACTATCGTAATTTGGACCCTGGTAGCAAACGACGAAGTACGTGAGCGCTTATCATTTCACAGATTGACGTTTTAAAGATGTCATGCAATATTCAGGAACTCATAGGAGAATTCATTTCTCATGCATACGAAAATTTTGCTGATAATTAACAAGCGAGAAACTTCTTTTTCTGAGAAAATAAATTTTTAACTGCGGAAACTGATGAGTTTTCAACTATTAATGAATGAATATTTACTAAAATTCAGTCTGTCGACTAATTCTTTTAGTCACATAGTCAACAGGCTTCTTTTATGATGAATAATTCCCTTTATTCTCGACAAATGTACGAATTCCAATAGAGAAATAAAAAAACTTATTTTTATAGAAAACAAATAACAGAATAATCTAATACGATAATCGAAATGACAAAAAAGGAAGAAATGTGCGTTTTTAACGATTCAATAAGTAATTAATTTTTTTTTAAATCGATAAATGTACGTGTCATCTTACACTCACTTCATATTTCGATGCGGTAAAGCTGCAGCTTGGAATTTCAGGAAATGAGCTGAACCTCCTGACGGAAGCCCAGCGTCCATTGACTCCTGAAGAGTAATCGGGTCAAGTGTCTTGTTTATTGAAACTTGTTGGTAATCACCAAAGTCGCACTCACCTTTTAGGGCCATTCCTTGTCTCGATTGACACTTCAATAACGTCAAAAAAATTCCACACAAGTTTCACAATTTTTCTGCTCCCTGAGACGATCGAAACTCAATTACGAATTGATCCGAGTGATTGATCGGACTTTGTTGTTGTTGAAATTTGAAAGTTGCGTGCGCGCCGGCTAGCCGACGTTGCCAGATTAAATTGAATGAACAATTTATCGTCGCGCATGCCAGCAATGTCAATATGTATGCATTGAACCACGTGATTACATGTCTTCAAGAAGTGGGAGAAAGTAAAAGTTGTTTTTATGTATTTCGCCGGCGAGTGTCCTCCATCAGTGGTAAAACAGAGTGCGCGAACGATTCGAAGAGGAAGTGGATGTCAGGGACACTGAAGCGAGGGGTGGAGGGTCTTAATGAGGGATAATCCCTCCTGAGTTGTTTATGCGCATTCATTCACGTGAATTTTTTCACCCGGAGCTAAAGGGTCAGATCTTGGATTTTTTCAGGGGGAAGGTCGGTCAAAGGGTCACAAGGGTCACGAGGGCCAAAGTGCCAGATCTTGGATTTTTTCAGGGGGAAAGTCGGTCAAAGGGTCGCAAGGGTCACGAGGGCCAAAGTGTCAGATCTTGGATTTTTCCAGGGGGAAAGTCGACTTTCGCCAAAATCGAATTTTTTAGCCGGGTGAACGTTGATTCCAACTATTTAAGCGACGGGCTATTCAGAACTCTCAAAAGTATGTGGAAAAAGTGAAAACTGAAAAAAAAAAATTTTCACCCGGACGCCAAGGGGTCAGATCTTGGATTTTTCCAGGGGGAAAGTCGACTTTCGCCAAAATCGAATTTTTTAGCCGGGTGAACGTTGATTCCAACTATTTAAGCGACGGGCTATTCAGAACTCTCAAAAGTATGTAGAAAAAGTGAAAATTGAAAAAAAAAAAATTTCACCCGGAGCCAAAGGGTCAGAGCTTGGATTTTTTCAGGGCGAAAGTCGGTCAAAGGGTCACGAGGGCCAAAGTGCCAGATCTTGAATTTTTCCGGGGGGAAAGTCGACTTTCGCCAAAATCGATTTTTTTAGCCGGGTGAACGTTGATTC